GAACTTTTCCTCTCCCACCAGAGAGACAAGATGGTGAAGGGGCTGAGCCTGATGAACAGTCGGGAAGTGGAGCACCTGTTTCTGTCCACGGAGAACAGTTAAAAGAAATACACCCAAGCCGGATGCTCAGAGATGAATTTCAGAGAGAGGACTTCCAGCCTTAAGGCATGTATTTGATAAGGCAGAATTCAAAGGAAAAGGTCATGAGACCTGGTTAAAATGAATTCGACTTGATCTTCCTATTTTATAGGAAGATTATGTTAGCAGCCGGGTGCGGTGGCTCATGCCTCTCATGCCAGCACTGGGGAACTGAGGCGGATGGATCATGAGGTCAGGAGTTCAAGACCAGCCTGACTAACATGGTGAAACCTGAAACTTCATCTCTACTAAAAAAGTATAAAAATGAGCCAGGCATGGTGGTGTGTGCCTGTAGTCCCAGCTACTCAGGAAGCTGAGGGAGGAGAATTGCTTGAATCCAAAAGACGGAGGTTGCAGTGAGCCGAGATCAAGCTACTGTACTCCAGCCTGGGTGACAGAGCAAGACTCTGTCTCAAAAAAAAAAAAAAAAAAAAAAAAAATTGAAGAAGATTATGTTAGCAATAATGATGACATTGTGGGAAGTAATGACCAGGAAGTAACTGCTGCTGAACTAGATCCTTTCTGACAAACTCATCTGAAAGTGAGATGTTTGCTTCTGAGTCACATAAAAGCCTAACAGAAGAGCAACAGCAAAGAATGCTCAGAAATAAGCAACTGGCCTTGGAAAGAAGGCAGGCAGAGCTGCTGAGTCCCTAGGAAATGACAGGTTAATGAATACACCCAGGACACCGTCAGGGGAAAAGGTTAATACTGGTGAGGATCAAAAGGCGGTGTCAAGGCCAGGTGCGGTGGCTCACGCCTGCCATCCCAGCACTTTGGGAGGCCGAGGCGGGCGGATCGCGAGGTCATGAGATCGAGACCATCCTGGTCAACATGGTGAAACCCCATCTCTACCAAAAATACAAAAAAAGTAGCCAGGCGTGGTGGTGGGTGCCTGTAATCCCAGCTACTCGGGAGTCTGCGGCAGGAGACTCACTGGAACCCAGGAGGCGGTTGTGTGAGCTGAGATGGCGCCACTGCACTGCAGCCTGGGCAACAAGGCGAAATTCCTTCTCAAAAAAAGAAAAAAAAAGCCAGATGGATTAAACGAAGACATTCTAAACAATCCATGTAGTGATGCTACTGCCAATACTTTAAACGAAGAGGAGGAATTAAAATGAGAGAAAACACTGCTGGACCGGTCTTTTAAAAACGTTACAAACCTGCAAAGTAACCTGATGCTTCATCCAGAAACATTACTGAAGCTAGTAAGTTTCCGTAACAAAACCTGTCTGTTAACTCACCATCCTGCGAGTTAGCTACTATGTATTTTTCCTGAAGTGAAAATTCTTAGGTGGTTAAAACTTTTACAGATTATTGTTTAAAAAAGAAAGTCCGGCTGGGCGCGGTGGCTCAAGCCTGTAATCCCAGCACTTTGGGAGGCCGAGGCGGGTGGATCACGAGGTCAAGAGATCGAGACCATCCTGGTCAACATGGTGAAACCCCGTCTCTACTAAAAATACAACAAATTAGCTGGGCATGGTGGCGCGTGCCTGTAATCCCAGCTACTCAGGAGGCTGAGGCAGGAGAATTGCCTGAACCCAGGAGGCGGAGGTTGCGGTGAGCCGAGATCGCGCCATTGCACTCCAGCCTGGGTAACGAGAGAAACTCCGTCTCAAAAAAAAAAAAAAACAAGAAAAAGTCCTGGACCCCTACAGAAAAAGAGAGCCACCCCCCGCACCCGGTCTCCGCTGAACGCGGTTCTGTCGCTCCATAAAATTCTTCTCCTCCCTCCTCAGTCTTCAATGTCCAGGGTATCCTCATTCGTCTTAGGCATAGTACAATAGCTGGGGAACCACAGAACGCAGGAACAAGCTGTAACCCAGGCCAGCATGGCCGAGCGAGGGCCAGGCTATGTGTCACAGGTGTCGCCAGCTGGAGGACCCTGGCTGGCAAAGTGACTGAGAAGAAAAATCCTACATCACTACTGACAGACAGCAAACTCACTTCCAGGGCCACGTGAGATGGGAAGACGTGTGGCTGTCAGCTGCGTCGGGTGTCACCTTGTCCTTTCAGATTTAATTAAAACTGGCTGCTCAGCCCTCAGCCCACATAGGAAGAACCCAGGCTGCTGCTGTCACTGTGTCGCCCAGGCTGGAGTACAGTGGCGTGATCTCAGCCCACTGCAACCTCCACTTGCTGCGTTCAAGTGATCCTTCTGCCTCAGCCTCCCAAGTAGCTGGGACTACAGGCACCCATGCCCAGCTAATTTTTGTATATTTAGTAGAGATGGGGTTTCACCATATTGGCCAGGCTGGTCTCAAACTCCTGTCCTTGTGATCCACCCACTTGGGCCTCCCAAAGTGCTGGGATGACAGGTGTGAGCCACCCTGCCAAGCCTTTATTTATTTATATATTTAAGAAACGGTCTCACTCTGTCACCCAGGGCTGGAGGGCAGTGGTGGTCATGGCTCACTCAGTCTCAATGTCGCAGGCTGAAGTGATCCTCCTGCCCCAGCCAGGACTACAGGCACATGCCACTGCCCCCAGCTAATCACCTCCATTTCTGCTGTACCCACCACCCTTGGGACGCCCAGTTAGCTCTCCAGGCAAGGTGTGTTCAAGGCTGGAGCAACACCATGGGCACCTGTAGTGACAGCTGAAAGCCACTCGGTGTCCCCACCTCCCAGCCCCAGCTGGCCTCTGCCTATGGACTCTCCCTGCTCCATCCTCTAGCTCTACCTTGCCCACACTGGGACACACTAGCTTTTCCCGGACTCTGTTCCGAGCCCGTCCTACTTCCAGCTCTCAAGTGACTCTAGCTGTCAGGCGGCACTGTGCAACATGCCAGCCTTGCCTTGCTCTGTGGTCTTGGCTGTGGTGAGGTATCTCCCCAGCCCCTTTCCGCCTTCCCAAAGACACCCTAGACTTGTTCCATGCACCTCTGCTCTCTGGGGCCCCATTTCCATGGCCCCCAAGTCCCCTGACCCCAGGCACGTTCTCACACACAGGTGCCAGTGGATGGGCAAGGAGAGACTCATGGGACGAAGCCTGTGACCCCGGGGAGGAACTAAGTCACATTCGTGGAGCTGCAGGACCTGGTTGCCTGGATGGAGAGGAAGGGGCCCAGAGGGTGGCTGCTCACTGGCCTTGTCCAGTCCTTCCCCTCCAACAGTGATGGGTGGCTGAGGCTGCAGGGAACTCCTGGAGCGGCCGGACACACCCGGCCCAGCCATGGCATCACAGCGCTCAGTGCAGACCCCTCCTGTCCTCGCAGGCTGGGCTGGGTGCCTGCGTGCCAGGTGATTGGAAATTCTGCATCTCCAGTGAGGGTTTGTGGTAACAGCCTGGCTCCAGACAGGCTGGGCAGACAGAACTGTCTGTTTTTGCAAGCTTCTTCATCTGTATAATGGGCCCAAAGCCTGCTCCTTCCTGGGGCTTCGGGATGGGCTTGGTGGATGGGGTCAGGGGTGCAGTGTATAGGTGCTCCTGGCTGGGACGGCAAGCGCCAGCTTCCTCCTGCAGCTCGGAGAGTCAGGGATGGTGCCCTGCCCTGCTCATCCCACCCTCACCCTAGTCCTGCCCCACCGCTAAGGCCCAGTAAGGGCAGGGGCACAGCAGATGTGGGAGACCTGCCAGGACCATGCCCTGGGGGGAATGGGGTGGCGCAGGCCCTGTGGGCTCCCCTTCCACCAGCCAGTGATCCCAGCCACACTCCTCCCATGTTTTGCTCGGGCCAGTGCTTCTCTCTGAGTGGGACAGTGGGGGAAATGTCCAGCCTCTAGTCTCTGCTCCTTTTCTCAGACCAGCTGTCATCTCCTGAGCTCGGGCCCTACACCAAGCAACATCAGCCCCAGAACTTGTGGGAATGGGGCCCCTGTGCCAACTCGGTGTCACCTGCTGGCTCCCTGCTCTGGGCACAGGCCTCTTCCCATCACCAACCCCGTGGACCGCCCTCTGTGGCTGGGTGCTGGGAGCCTCTCAGGGGCCCCTCGACAGACCCGCCCTCCCGGGGCTCATGCCTGATGTGGGAGATCCGTGTCGGCTGCCAGGTAGCTCGGCCAGCATGCAGAAGGGGTGTCAGGGAAGGTGTCCCAGCGGGAGAGGATGTGCAGGAGGCCCTCTGAATGTCACAGCAAACACCTGGATTTGCTGATGGCCAGGAATCCCTGCCAGGGCTGTCAGGGAGAGGGTGAAATCATGGAGTCTGGGCAAGGAAGGGCTCGGGCCCAGATCACAGATGAGAGCTGCGGAGGGCGGGAACCATCGGTCCCAGGGGCTCCTGCCCTGTGTCCCCAGGGAAGCAGACCCCACTTCTATCCACTCTGGCTCTTTTTTTTTTTTTTTGAGACGGAGTTTCGCTCTTGTTACCCAGCCTGGAGTGCAATGGTGCAATCTCAGCTCACCGCAACCTCCGCCTCCTGGGTTCAGGCAATTCTCCTGCCTCAGCCTCCCGAGTAGCTGGGATTACAGGCACGCGCCACCATGCCCAGCTAATTTTTTGTATTTTTAGTAGAGACGGGGTTTCACCATGTTGACCAGGATGGTCTCGATCTCTTGACCTCGTGATCCACCCGCCTCGGCCTCCCAAAGTGCTGGGATTACAGGCTTGAGCCACCGCGCCCAGCCTCACTGTGGCTCTTACACTGTCCCACCCTGGGATCAGCCCACCAAAACCAAGACCCTTCCCACAACCCAGACTTGGCCAAAGCAATTTCCCGGCCCCAGAGCATGGCCACTGGAGCACCGGGAGCACCTGCTCTGACCTCTGATGCCAGAGCAGACGTCAAAGGGGTGGGCCATGGCCTGTGGTCAAGGTCAAGCCCTGACAAGCTATGAGGAGCCAGAAGCCGAGGCCTTGGTGCTCTGGGCACCAGCAGGCTGACCCTGTGCCCCCCGGGGGCCAGCATACGGGTCAGGAAACACTTCCAAAGTCCTTTATTGGGCCGGCAAGGCCGGCAGCTGCCCTTGGAGTGGGGTCCCAGGCTGGAGTCTCCAGGTTGGTGGCAGCCCTGTCCCTTCTGGCTGGGGCAGGCAGCCAGCTGGCTCACTACTTGGTGCGCGCCTTCACGTACTCCCAGCCCTCCTTGGAGTACTCGCAGGCCTTAGAGGGGGCTACCGACAGAGCTGACATCACTGTGATGATTCCTGTGGGGAAGGGACGGCCACTGGTGACGCTTCCCTCCCAGCCTCCCCCAGCCTCCAAGCCCTGGGAAATCCTAAACTCTAGGGGTTTTGGTTTCTTTAGAGACAGGGTCTCCCTCTGTTGCCCAGGCTGGGGCACAGTGGTGTCATCATAGCTCACTGAAGCCTTGAACTCCAGGGCTGAAGCAATCCTCCTGCATAAGCCTCCCAAGTAGCTGGTACCGCAGGCACATGCCACCATGCCTGGCTAATTAAAAACGATGTTTTGGGCCAGGCATAGTGGCTCATACCTGTAATCCAAGCACTTTGGCGGCCAAGGCGGGCAGATCACCTGAGGTCGGGAGTTCAAGACCAGCCTAACCAAATGGTGAAACCCCGTCTAAAATTAAAAAAATAATAAAAAAAAAAAATTTTTGCCAGGTACGGTGGCTCATGCCTATAATCCCAGCACTTTGGGAAGCCAAGGCAGATGAATGGCCTGAGGTTAGGAGTTCAAGACCAGTCTGACCAACATGGTGAAACCCCATCTCTATTAAAAAAAAAAAAAATACAAAATTAGGCAGGCGTGGTGGCACACGCCTGTAGTCCCAGCACTTTGGGAGGCTGAGGCAAGCGGATCACGAGGTCAGCAGTTCAAGACCAGCCTGACCAACATGGAGAAACCCCATCTCTACAAAAATACAGAATTAGCCGGGCATGGCGGCACATGCCTGTAATCCCAGCTACTCGGGAGGCTGAGGCAGGAGAATCGCTTGAACCTGGGAGGCAGAGGTTGCGGTGAGCCGAGATCACATCATTGCACTCCAGCCTGGGCAACAAGAGCAAAACTTCATTTCAAAAAAGGAAAAAAAAAGAAAAGCAGATTTTCTCTGTGAAGAGACAGGGTCTCATAATGTTGCCCAAGTTGTTCTCAAAGTCCTGGCTTCCAACAGCTTTTCCGCCTCAGACTCCGAAAGTGCTGTAGGTATGAGCCACCACTCCTAGCAAGCAAGTCTTTTTAAAAACAACTTCCAGCAGAAACTGAGGCAGCAGAGGGGCAGCGCCTTGCCTTGTCCAAGCTCGTAGGACAAGTTCGGCTGTGGGCCCAGGCCTCCCACCTCCCATTCTAACAGGCGGTGCACAGTCCAGCCCTCAAGGGCTCCGCCCTCGTCCCCTTCCCTAGAATCTCCACTCCTTTCCCTGTTACTCATTTATTTGAGACAGAGTCTTGCTCTGTTGCCCAGGCTGGAGTGCAGTGGCGCAATATTGGCTCATTGCAACCTCTACCTCCGGGGCTCAAGAGATTCTCCTGCCTCAGCCTCCAGAGTAGTAGAGACAGAGTTTCACTGTGTTGCCCAGGCTGGTCTCAAACTCCTGACATTCCTGACTTCAGGTGATCCTCCTACCTCAGGCTCGCAAAGTGCTGGCATTACAGGCATAAGCCACCAGGCCTGGCCTCGGTTCCCTTTTAGATCCCTAAGAGACACGTGTGGGGCAGGCCGGGGGATGGATAGAAAAAGTGGCCAGGACATGGGGAGACGGGCTAGACTGGGGTGTCTGCAGCAACCCCCACAAGCAAAGAAACCAGGTGCCTACCTGCATTCCAGGAGTCACGGATGGGAAAGTGAATCTTTGGAGGAGCTGGGAGCTGGGAAGAGAGATGGGCAGAAAGAACCGGTGAAAAGACCCAGCAGCCCAGCCCCAGAGACAGAGGGAGGAGAACAGGCCTGAGAATCAGGCAGCACCAACACGGAGGGCATCATGCAGGGCTGGAGGCAGCCCCAGAGTCGGCCACTCGCCAAGCCCTGGCCTCGCTCCCAGCCTGGAGTACCTGGGGTATCTGCAGGCCTGTCTGCTGACACACGTAGTGGCTGAACTGGTACATGGCCGGGGGAACCACTTCCCCAGCCTTCTTTAGGGCTGCCTGGCTCTTGTCGCTGGACCCCAGCAGCTCCTGGTCATACACCAGGTAGACGGCGCCCCCAGCCACACTTCCCTTGATGAGGAACCTGCGGGTAGGGACGGGAGGAGCAGAAGCTTAGCGGATACTGACCGCCACCCTTAGGAGCCTAGGCCCACGGGGAGAGTCAGACCCTCCCGGGGGCTCACCGTCCACAGGGTGACACTCTGTATGTAGCACCGTCGACCCAGACCCCTATCATATACAGCACTCGATTCACAATGTGCAAGGCAGGGCGGCTGGACGCCATTTTAATCGGTAAACTGAAACCCAGAGCGGGAGAGTGGGTCACTCAAGTTCCCACAGTGAGCAGGGGCAGTGAAAAAGATCCTTGACTTTCCAGAGCCTTCCAGCCCTGGAGAAACCAAGTGTCCCTGGACGCCTCCTGCCCGCTGTCACTCGCTCCGAGCACGCATTCACCTCCCATCCACGCCAGCGACAGGATTCACCGGGCATTGCCTCTTCACAGAGAAGACAACTGAGGCTCGGAGGCGGAGGCAGACACCGTGAGCGGAACGCAAAGGGCTCGCTGGCAGGCAAGAGGGGAGGGATTGGAGACCTAGGGAAGCCCCACCCCGCTGGAGCCTCAGTTTCCCTATCTGGCCCATAGGCGGGGGAGGAAGGGAAGGTAACTCTACATGAAGCGAGGAACAGATCGCAAGCAGACTGGAGACAAGGGTGCCCACAAAAAGGGACTTTTTCGGGGACTCAGGTCCTATCCGGCGGCCCCACGCACCTCATCAGCGACCACACCCGGGCCACCATAGTCGCTCGGCTCCACGCGCAAGGACACGACTCGCCCGCCGCTTCCGGTCGCCACGCCGCAGAGGCCTCTGGGAGGCGTAGTCTTTCTTGCGCGACGCAGAGTCTCCTGGGAGTGGTAGTCTCTTAGGGCGCTGAGACTCCAGAGAAGGGCTACGGTCCCGCCACGAAGGGCCGCTGGGAAATGGACGCTTCAGGACCCGGGCCGCTGCAAGGCTGTCTGGGAAATGTAGTCAGCACCGCGCTGTTTACGCCTGGCCGCGGAGCCTCCTGGAAAATGTAGTCCGGTCCGGCCTAACCCGGCCCTAGCAGTGTGAGGGGAACGAGGCGTCGGGTGCCTGGACTGAAGCCTGAAGGTGACCCGAGAAGAAGTCGGAGCCCGAGAGATCCGCCCGCGCCCGCACGGGGGACTAAGGACCGGGACCTAGAAAAAGTGCCCATAGAAAGTGGTTGTCACGGCAACGCGAAGGCGGGATTGTTCGAAAGCGGCGGTCCCGTCACATGATGGATTCGGGGGCGGGGATTCCACCCAAGGGGCGGGGCCGAGACTGGGAGGTGGAGAGCAGGCGGGGACTGTTGCCTGGCGACGCTCCGGCGCTGGGTCCCCGAGGCCCGGCCCCTCCCCGCGAGGAGGTGGGTTTGGAGTCAGGTGACCCGGGCCCTACGGGAGGGGGCGCGGTCAGAGACCCGGCAGGAGGCGGCCGGGAAGAGAGCTCCGTGGGACGTTCGCGTGGCTCCCAGGCCGGGACCCCAACCCCGCTGGATAGTGGGGGAAACTGAGGCCTGAGTGGGTAAGTATACAGTTTAGGGCTGCGCAGCAGGTCACACACCCCCTTTGTTCGGAGGGGAAGCTAAGGCCCGCCGGGGTCTAGAAGGGGCCGGTGGGTTCTGCAGGAATTTGTCCCTCCCCGCCCCCCGCCGCCCGGATTCCTCCTGCATCTCGGCCAGGCTGCTTCAACCGTTCATCTGCCCATCCATCCGTCCATACGTCCATCCTTCCATCCATCTGTCCCCTCACCCATCCATCTATCCATCTGGCCATCCACCCACCCACCCATCCATCTATCCATCCACAGTTCCCTTTATCGGTCTCGCTATCCATCCACGCATCCGTTCATCCATCTGCTCCCCCCATCCAGCCATCTATCCATCTGACCATCCACCCACCGATCCTTCCATCTATCCATCCACACTTCCATTCATCATCTGTCTCCCCATCCATCCACGCATCCGTTCATCCAACTGTCTGCCCATCCATCCACCCATCAATCCATCCATCTGCTCCCCCATCCATCCACCCATCCATTCATCCATCTGTTTCCCAAATTCATCATACATCCATCCGCTCATCCATTTATCCATCCATGCCTCCATCCCTCCTTCTGTCCATCCACTCATCCATCCATCCGTCTGTCCATCTGGCCTCACTTCCCCCTGCCGGGCTGCTGCAGTCAGTGTGGAGCTGGGGGTGGAAAAGGGATGAGCAGAGGGACTTCATGGACTGTCCCTGGAAGGGGAAAAGGTGGAAGCTCGTTTTTTGCTGTGAGCATGACTGGTGTGTCTGGGGAAGCTGAGGAGTTCATTCCTTTGAGAAGGGAACGATTCACAGATGGAGAAGAGGATAGACAGGTAGTCAGGGGCTATACCTGCAGGGCCTCATGGGCTGCAGTGAGGAGCCTGGTTTCCATCAGTTGCAGTGGAGACACCTGAGAGGGTTTGGAGCAGAAAGGCAGTGACTATGTTGCTTTTGATACAGGTGCCTTTGGCTACATGGACAGGAGAGGCAGGGAGAGAATGTGGAGATGGGGAAGCCAGTGTGGAGGTAGGGGAGACCTAATGGGAGGTGGAAGGGAGGCCAGGGGAAAGAAGATGGGGGTGGTCAGGCCGGGGGGAGGGTCTAGGAGGGAGGTGACAATCTGGGAGCCCTGAAGAGAGAGAGGAAGGGACAGTTGGGGAGAGATTGCAGAGGGAGAACTGATAAGATCTGAAAACATGAGGTCAGACCGGGCGCGGTGGCTCACACCTGTAATCCCAGCACTTTGGGAGGCCAAGGCGGGTGGATCACGAGGTCAAGAGATCAAGACCATCCTGGTCAACATGGTGAAACCCCGTCTCTACTAAAAAAAAAATACAAAAAATTAGCTGGGCATGGTGGCATGTGCCTGTAATCCCAGCTACTCAGGAGGCTGAGGCAGCAGAATTGCCTGAACCCAGGAGGCGGAGGTTGCGGTGAGCCGAGATCGCGCCATTGCACTCCAGCCTGGGTGACAAGAGCGAAACTCCGTCTCAAAAAAAAAAACCATGAGGTCATGGGGTAAAAGGATGGAAGGGCGTGAGGACAATGCCTGGGTTTCCCATTCAGGGACGGGACAGTGAGGCCCTTTCCATCATGGTGAGCTGGGAAGAGAAGCAGGTATGGGGCTACATGCTGAGCCTGGTTTGAATCCTGCTGGCTCTAAGGGGCCTGGAGGTGGTCAAGTGGAGGTCCCCAGAGGACAGCAGAGGCAGAGAACCCAGGGCTGGACCTGGAGATGGAAGATTTAGGGACTCTTCAATGAGAGAGCCCATCTCAAAAAAAGTAAAGAAAAAGAAAAGGGCCGGGCGCGGTGGCTCACGCCTGTAATCCCAGCACTTTGGGAGGCCGAGGCGGGTGGATCACGAGGTCAAGAGATCGAGACCATCCTGGTCAACATGGTGAAACCCCGTCTCTACTAAAAATACAAAAAATTAGCTGGGCATGGTGGTGCGCGCCTGTAATCCCAGCTACTCGGGAGGCTGAGACAGGAGAATTGCCTGAACCCAGGAGGTGGAGGTTGCAGTGAGCTGAGATCGCGCCATTGCACTCCAGCCTGGGTGACAAGAGCGAAACTCCGTCTCAAAAAAAGAAAAAGAAAAGAAAATTTGGCCCTCTCTTGGAGGAGGTCACTTTTTTTTCTTTTTTTGAGATGGAGTTTTGCTCTTGTTGCCCGGGCTGGAGTGCAATGGCATGACCTTGGCTCACTGTAACATTGTCCTCCCGGGTTCAAGAGATTCTCCTGCCTCAACCTCCTGAGTAGCTGGGATTACAGGCGACTGCCACCATGCCCGGCTAAGTTTTTATATTTTAAGTAGAGACGAGGTTTCAACATTTTGGTCGGGGTGTCTCAAACTCCTGACGTCAGGTGATCCACCCGCCTTGGCCTCCCAAAGTGCTGAGATTACAGGCCTGAGCCACCACACCCAGGCTTTTTTTTTTTAAAGACGGGTTTCACCATGTTGGTCAGGCTGGTCTTGAACTCCCAACCTCACGTGATCCACCTGCCTTGGCCTCCAAAGTGCTTGGATTGCAGGTGTGAGCCACCACGCCCGGCCTTTTTGTTTGTTTGTTTGTTATGAAATTGGCTGTTGTTGCCCAGGCTGGAGTGCAGTGGCACTATCTCGGCTCACTGCAACCTCCACCTCCTGGGTTCAAGCCATTTTCCTGCATCAGCCTCTCAAGTATCTGTCACCATGCCCGGCTAATTTTTTTTTTTTTTTAACTGAGTCTTACCAAAAAAAAAAAAGGAAAAAATAAATAAAAATAACCCCCCCCCCCCAAAAAAAAAGAGAGAGACAGAGTCTTCTCGAGGCTGGAGCCCAGTGGCGAAATCTCAGCTCACTGCAACCTTGGCCTCCCTGATTCAAGCAATTCTTCCGCCTCAGCCTCCCAAGTCACTGGGAGTATAGGCACACACCACCACACCTGGCTATTTTTTGTATTTTTAGAAGAGTTGGGGTTTCACCATGTTGGCTAGAATGGTGTCTGTTTTTTGTTTTGTTTTGTTTTTGAGATGTCTCGCTCTGTCGTCCAGGCTGGAGTATAGTGGTGCAGTCTTGGCTCACTGCAACCTCCACCTCCCGAGGTCAAGTGATTCTTGTGCCTCAGCCCCCTGAGTAGCTGCAGTTATGCACCTGCTATCATGACCAGCTAATTTTTGTATTTTTAGTATAAATGGGGTTTCACCATGTTGACCAGGCTGCTCTCGAACTCCTGATCTCAAGTGATCTGCCTGCCTCAGCCTCCCAATATGCTGGGATTCCACGTGTGAGCCATCTCGCCCAGCTGAAGGAGGTCACTTTTGCACTGAGACTTGAAAGAAGTGAGAGAGCAAACCATTGGGTTATATCTGGGAACGGCATTCTAGGCAGTAGGAACAGCCCACGCGAAGGCCCTGAGGCAGGACGGTGACTGGCTGGTTTTGAGGAATAGCAACGGATTGACTATTTTAGGGGAGCAGAGTGAGCGTGGAGGACAGGTCTATGCAGAACGTTTGTGGCCACCAAGGAGTGTTTTTTTTGGGTGTGTGTTTTGTGTGTGTGTGTGCATGTGTTTTGAGACAGAGTCTTTCTCTGTCACCAGGGGCTGGAGTATAGTGACGCGATCTCGGCTCACTGCAACCTCTGCCTCCTGGGTTCAAGTGATTCTCCTGTCTCGGCCTCCCCAGTAGCTGGGATTACAGGCATGTACCACCACGCCCAGCTAATTTTTTCTATTTTTTGTAGAGACAGGGTTTCACCACGTTGGCCAGGATGGTCTTGATCTCTTGACTTCATGAACTGCCTACCTTGGCCTCCCAAATGTTAGGATTGCAGGCGTGAGCCACCGGGCCCAGCCAGGAGTCTGCTTTTTATTCTAACTGGAGCAGGAAGGATTTGAGGTCCAGGGGAGGCAAGGCGTGGGGAAAAAAGAAGGCTGAGAAGGCAGAAGGGCAGGGGTGCAGGTGCGGCCGTTCATGGAGCCAGCATGGTGGCCTGGACGGGTGGTGGCATCACCAAATGCTCATCAAACGGGGCAGCTGTGGGCCTGGCCTCTGCTGGCCACCTCTGTCCCCTGTCCCTCTGCAGGCCCACGGAGGACCATGAAGGTGCTTCTTCTCACAGGGCTGGGGGCCCTGTTCTTCGCCTATTATTGGGATGACAACTTTGACCCAGGTGAGTCCCTGGGGTTTATGGAGGGAGAAACGGGGCCAGCTGTCCCGTCCTCTGCCCAGAGTGACCACCCGGACTCTGGCCAGCCAGCCTCCAGGGAGCCCGAGTGCTGCTGACAGGGGCCAATGCTGGTGTCGGTGAAGAGCTGGCCTATCACTACGCACGCCTGGGCTCCCACCTGGTGCTCACTGCCCACACCGAGGCCTTCCTGCAGAAGGTGAGCCACCCCATGTCTAGACAAATGCTGGGGGTGCATGTGGGGACAAGGAAGAGAGCCTGGGTTTGAATCCCTGCAGTGACCCCGGCTTCCTGTGTGACCCTGGGCAAGTCACCTAGCCTCTTTGAGCCTCTCGGTTTCCTCATTTTCAAAACGGGGACAATGAAACCACCCTCTGGCCAGGCGTGGTGGCTCATGCCTGTAGTCCCAGCACTTTGGAAGGCCGAGGCAAGTGGATCAGCTGAAGTCAGGAGTTCAAGACCAGCCTGGACAACATGATGAAACCCCGTCTCTACTAAAAATACAAAAATTAGGCCGGGTACAGTGGCTGATGCCTGTAATCCTAGCACTTTGGAGGCCGAGATGGGCAGATCACTTGAGGTCAGGAGTTGGCAACCAGCCTGGCCAACATGGTAAAACCCTATCTCTACTAAAAATACAAAAGAAAAAAAAAATAGCTGGGCATGGTGGCCCGCACCTGTAACCTCAGCTACTTGGGAGGCTGAGGCAGGAGAACTGAACCCAGGAGGCAGAGGTTGTAGTCAGCCGACATTGCACCACTGCACTCCAGCCTGGGTGACAGAGCGAGACTCCATCTCAAAAACACACAAAAAAATTGTTTTTGATGGCTCATGCCTGTAATCCCAGCTACTTGGGAGGCTGAGGCAGGAGAATCACTTGAACCCAGGAGGCAGAGGTTGCAGTGAGCCGAGGTCGTGCCACTGCACTGCAGCCTGGGCAACAAAGTGACATTCTGTCTTTTTTTTTTTTCAAGACGGAGTTTCGCTCTTGTTACCCAGGCTGAAGTGCACTGGCGTGACCTCGGCTCACCGCAACCTCCGCCTCCTGGGTTCAGACAATTCTCCTGCCTCAGCCTCCTGAGTAGCTGGGATTACAGGCGCGTGTCACCATGCCCAGCTAATTTTTGTATTTTTAGTAGAGACGGGGTTTCACCATGTTGACCAGGATGGTCTCGATCTCTTGACCTCGTGATCCACCCGCCTCGGCCTCCCAAAGTGCTGGGATTACAGGCTTGAGCCACCGCGCCCGGCTTAAACAAAGCAACAAACTCCCACCTTTTCATGGGTTAGGATGCTGCACCACTGCAGTGAGATGGTTGACTAGAATGCACGGCACATTCCTCAGCAAATGAGAGTTGCGTGTCCAAGCCTGTATTGATAGTTGGATTCTCAAACTCCAAAGGGAGGATGGGCACTTCTTGGCAACCAACAGCTCATTGCTACTTCAGGACAGGGTGTGGCTCTTGGACACAAACCTTTCAAATTTTCAAGAGAAGCTAGAAATCTGGAGATTGTAGGTGAAATGCCCTGTTTTAGATTCTGGCGATTGCTTAATCGGCCAGCATTCTGGCTCGCAGACCTCCACTTTGAGCCTCCCCACCTCCCAGTAGTAAATCTTTGGGAAAGATGTTGAATGGGGCCAGAGGCTCAGAGTAGGGGAGGGGTTTTCAGGCGGTGGCCTCCCTGTGGCCGGCAGGTGGGGGGGCAGCTGGAGAGGAGAGGCCCACGGGCAGCTCTGGCCCCCCCCAGGTGGTAGGGAACTGCCGGAAGCTGGGCGCCCCCAAGGTCTTCTACATCGCAGCGGACATGGCCTCCCCTGAGGCGCCCGAGAGCGTGGTGCAGTTTGCGCTGGACAAGCTGGGTGAGGGGCTAGGCCTGGAGTCTGCAGTCCGGGACCGTGGCCTGGGCCTTAGGGACAGGACCAGAATTGGGGTGTGGGTGTGGCTACAGTAACAAGTGTCTCAGGGTGGAGACGTTTCCCGGGACTGGGGACGTGGTGGAGGGGGTGGAGCCTCATTGCATCGTCGGGGAAGAGCTCCAAACAGAGCCTCATTGAATGGGGACGAAACTTTGCTAGATCCAGAGAATAAGGCCCAGGGCTGGGTGCCTTTCATCGTAGGGGGCGTTCCCTGGGGCGGAGCTCACTGGGTCAGCGCTCTGGGCGGAGCTAAGATCGGGGGCGGGGTTTGATTGTGCCCCGGAGGAGGGGCCTCCGCGGCTGACCGGCGTTTCTGGGCCAGGCGGGCTGGATTACCTCGTGCTCAACCACATTGGCGGCGCCCCGGCCGGCACGCGGGCGCGCAGCGCCCAGGCAACGCGCTGGCTCATGCAGGTGCTCCGCCCCTCCGCGGCTCGATCTCGGGGACCGGTGCTCCAGCCCCCTCTCTTCAAGCTCCGCTCCCTTCACGACCGGGGCTCTGCCTCCTCCCGGGCCGGCCCTCAGCCCTTCCCGCCCCGGACACGACCCTCCAAACCCAAGGCCCCGCCCTGCCCTCCGGGATTATAGGTCCGTCCTGGCGTTGACCCCACCCTGGGACCATGCCCTCCGGGTTTCTAGCCGCGTCCTCGGACCCCGCCCCGGCCTTGGCCCCGCCCTCCGGGTTTCTAGCCGCGTCCTCGGACCCCGCCCCGGCCTTGGCCCCGCCCTCCGGGTTTCTGGCCCGGTCCTAGGACCCCGCCCCGGCCTTGGCCCCGCCCTCCGGGTTTCTAGCCGGGTCCTCGGACCCCGCCCCGGTCTTGGCCCCGCCCTCCGGGTTTCTGGCCCGGTCCTAGGACCCCGCCCCGGCCTTGGCCCCGCCCTCCGGGTTTCTGGCCCGGTCCTAGGACCCCGCCCCGGCCTTGGCCCCGCCCTCCGGGTTTCTGGCCCGGTCCTAGGACCCCGCCCCGGCCTTGGCCCCGCCCTCCGGGTTTCTGGCCCGGTCCTAGGACCCCGCCCTGCCCCTGGGCTCCGCCTGCGTCGGTGACATGCGAGTGCCGCCTGCAGGTCAACTTTCTGAGCTACGTGCAACTGACGTCCCGGGCATTGCCCAGCCTGACGGACAGCAAGGGCTCTCTGGTGGTGGTGTCCTCGCTGCTCGGTGCGTGCGCTCGGCCCCGGCTCTGCGGGACGGGGAATGGGGAGCTCGATGCGGGTGAGCCTGGAGGGCTTGGGCAGGCTTCCCGGAGGAGGGGGAGCCGCTCAGCCGCTGCCGTCCGCGCCCCCAGGCCGCGTGCCCGCGTCGTTCTCCACCCCGTACTCGGCGGCCAAGTTCGCGCTGGACGGCTTCTTCGGCTCCCTGCGGCGGGAGCTGGACGTGCAGGACGTGAACGTGGCCATCACCATGTGCGTCCTGGGCCTCCGAGATCGCGCCTCCGCCGCCGAGGCAGTCAGGTGAGGCCCGGGCGAGCCGGGGGCTGGGCTGGGGGCCATGGGCGGCTGCCCAGCCCCAGCTGCAGCCCCCACCGCGCCCTCCCGTCCCCAGGGGAGTCACGAGGGTCAAGGCGGCCCCGGGGCCCAGGGCGGCCCTGGCCGTGATCCGCGGCGGCGCCACGCGCGCGGCCGGCGTCTTCTACCCGTGGCGTTTCCACCTGCTGTGCTTGCTCCGGCGCTGGCTGCCGCTCCCGCGGGCCTGGTTCATCCGCCAGGAACTCAACGTCACGGCCGCGGCTGCAGCCTGAGCACCGAGGGGTACCCCTCTACGTCCCGGACGGGAACGCTCCTCCCTCCAACTGTCCCTGGAGCCAGGACACTCACAAGAGACACCCCTGAGAGGGTGGCCACAGCCCAAGATAAAGTCGTCAAGACAGAAAAGCAAAACCCGGAAAAACGACGGGCGCCTGGAACCAAACACAGCTTCGGAGGCGCAGGCGCCCTGTGTTAGGTGCCTTCTCCCGGGCTTGTGACGCCTCACCAGTTTGGACATGATTGATGACATGACTGCTTCCATTTTACAGATAAAGAATCTGAGGCTCAGAGAGGTCGTACCACCCTTGAGCCAGCCGTGGACCCCCCACTCCATTTCCTGCCTGCGCCTCTTGGTCCCTGATTTATTCTTTGCACTCATTCATTCCAGCTGGGAAGATCCCCTCCTCCCGACACCTGCCGGCTTCCCCCAGCTGGGGGCTCACACCTGCAGGGATGTCTGCACTGTCCGTGCACTTGGTGGCAGGGTCTAAGAGGGAGGAGGAGGAGGGAAAGTCTGTGTTTTGGGCTGGACCCAGTCTCCCTTTGGAGAATAAAAACGCTTCTTCCCTTGCATATCTGTTCAAATTCCTCGGTAATTTCAATTTGCTGGCAGCCGGCGGACAGCGGGAGCGGTGTGTGTATCAGGGGCTTGGACTCTCAATCCCATTTCACAGGTGGAGAAATGGAGGCTGAGAGGCTAGGCGCGGTGGCTAACGTTTATAATGCCAGCACTTTGGGAGGCCAAGGCTAGCGGATCACTTGAGGTCATGAGTTTGAGACCAGCCTGGCCAACATGGTGAAACCCTGTCTTTACGTATTTTTAAATTTTTTTTAGACGGAGTCTCGGTCTAGGCTGGAGTGCAGTAGTGTGATCTAGGCTCACTGCAACCTCCGCCTCTGGGGTCAAGCAATTCTTGTGCGTCAGCCTCTAGAGTAGCTGGGATTACAGGTGCGGGCCACCTCACCTGGCTTTTTGTATTTTTAGTAGAGATTGGGTTTCACCATGTTGGCCAGGGTGGTCTGGAACTCTGGCCTTAGGTGACCCCCCCCCCCCCCGCCTCGGCGTCCCAAAGTGCTGGGATTATAGGTGTCAGCCACTGCATTCGGCCACAAACAAATATTTTAATTAAAAAATAAGCCAGGCGTGGTGGCATGTGCCTGTGGTCCCAGCTAAGGAGGCTGAGGCAGGAGGATCACCTGAGCCCTGGAAGTCAAGCCATGATGATTGCAGCGCTGCCCGCTATCTTGGGCGACAGAGCAAGACCCTGTGTGGAAAAAGCATGAGCAGCCCTAAATTGAGACTCACTCTTGTATATTAATAGCATTATTAAAGGCGAAAAATTGGAAACGTGTGTGTTTTCCGCCATCTGATTCCGTTAATTAGCGTCCCTTCCCTGCATCTTGTGAAATTACATCAGATGTCCCCAAGGGGCACTTATTATGCCTTGCTGTATTCATACCTAATCCAGAGGCTGACCAGTTGGCAGATAATGAAACCAATGCTCTCTTTAATGGCCGTTTTAACAGTTCAAATAGTTTGGTAATATTCTTTTCGTTCTACAAGTGAAGAAAGTCTGGGAGGCGAAGTCGTTGATGCAGGGTCGGTCAGCAATCGGCGGAGTTGGGATTCGAACTCGTGTCACGGGCAGAGGGAGGAGGGGAGCCATAGTCACGCCCCCTGGTTCCGACTTCTGCTCGCAGGCTCGGAGTAAGTGCGCATGCTCAAAGAGCCGGGTCGCGCATGCTAAGCGAGACTGCGGGGACGCCTCCAGCCGCCAGGGGGAGTGCGCGCGATTCTTGCCTCTGTGGCCCGTGCATCCTGAGCACAGTAGACATCCCAGAGTTCAGCGCGGCGCCAGCCCTTCCGCCGCGGTCGCCATTGGAGAGTGGCAGGTAAGTGGGTTCCTGCACAGCGGGAATCCGCCGCCATCCGTACTCCCGGGTTCTCTGTGCGGGTTGGAGGGTGGTTGGTTGTGGCAAGCGAGGCGGAAGGGGCCGGGGCGCGGGGTTCTGGACCTCGGCAACCGAATCCGGACTCAACCTCCGCCCCTTTTCCCCGCCGCTGTCTACAGCCATGGCTCTTCGGTATCCTATGGCCGTGGGCCTCAACAAGGGCCACAAGGTAACCAAGAACGTGAGCAAGCCTAGGCACAGCCGCCGCCGCGGGGTAAGTGAGGGGGCCATCGGGGCCCGCGCGGAGGTCATCGGGGGCTTCTTCGAGGGCAGAGGGCACGGCTTGGGCAAAGGCTGTCGGCGTGAAAGAACGCGGATTGGCGCGCGGAACTAAGGGGGGCTTGAATGGAAGGGACAGGGCGGGGGAGTGGGGGTTACTACTTGGTGTTCGAAGGCGAGCACTCATCTGGGTTTTCCCTGCCCGTGCACTCCACGCCGGGGCACAGGGAGCAACTTGAGGGCGTCCCGGGACAGTGGGTTTGGGGTTCTGACGCATGAGTAGGAGTTCCCTCGTGGAGCTGGCCCGAGGCTGCAGTGTGTGAGGTTGGGGGATTTCAGGTGTGTCAGTGTGTTTGGCTCCTTTATTCAGTGGGCAGCCTCGACTCCAGGTGCGTCCTGCAGGAGTTGCAGAGGTTGGGACTTGGGGAGGATGGGAGCTGCTCCGCGCGCGGTGGTTCACGCCTGTAATCCCAGCACTTCGGGAGGCCGGGGCAGGCGGATCACGAGCTCGGGAGTTTGAGACCAGTCTGACCAACATGGTGTAAACCTCGTTTCTACCAAAAATACAAAAATTACCCGGGCATGCGGGCATGGTGAAGCGCGCGCGCGCGGCGGAGGTTGCAGGGGGCCGAGGCCCACGCCACTGCAGTCCAGCCTGGACGACAGAGTGAGACCCCGTCTCAAAACAGGAAAAGCTCTGAGGGTTCATATCTCGGTTCTCACAGCTACGCAGAGATCTCAGCTCCCTGCAACCTCCGCCTCTGCAGTTCCAGCGATTCTTGTGCCTCAGCCTCCCCAGTAGCTGGAATTACAGGTGCCTGTAACCAGGCCTGGCTTTTTTATTTTTAGTAGATACGAGGTTTCACCATATTGGCCAGGCTGGCCTCAAACTCCTGGCCTTAGTGAACTTCTGCCTCGGCCTCCCCAGAGTGCTGCCACGACTTTCTGGAGTGCAGTGGTGCAATCTCGGCTTGCTGCAGCCTCCACCTTTTGGGTTCAAATGATTCTTGCGCCTCAACCTCCCGAGTAGTCCGGACTACAGGCATGCCCCACCACACCCAGCTTATTTTTGTATTCTTAGTAGCAATGGGGTTTCACCATGTTGGTCAGGCTGGTCTCGAGAACTCCTGACCTCAAGTCACCCGCCTGCCTCGGTTTCCCACAGTGCTGGGATTACAGGTGTCAGGCACTGCACCGAACCACAAACAAGTATTTTAATTAAAAAATTAGCCAGGCATGGTGGCATGCGCCTGTGGTCCCAGCTAAGGAGGCTGAGGCAGGAGGATCACCTGAGCCCTGGAAGTCGAGGCTGCAGTAAGCCTTGACCAGGCAGCACTGCACCCCAGCCTAGGCGATGGGCCGCCACGCCAGGGAACGAGGCCAGGGAAATGGTGATGGCTGAAGAGATTACACTGCTTACCTAGAATGCAGGGGTCCCCCCACCCTAATGGCTGGCTCTTGCCACCCCCACCCCCAGCGTCTGACCAAACACACCAAGTTCGTGCGGGACATGATCCGGGAGGTGTGTGGCTTTGCCCCATACGAGCGGCGTGCCATGGAGTTGCTAAAGGTCTCCAAGGACAAACGGGCCCTCAAGTTCATCAAGAAAAGGGTAGGTGGGCACTGCTGGTGGAGGGACGAGGTGGGAGTTGCAGGTGGGCTGACAGCAACCCTATCCCTGGCAGGTGGGAACACACATCCGGGCCAAGAGGAAGCGGGAGGAGCTGAGCAATGTCCTGGCCGCCATGAGGAAAGCTGCTGCCAAAAAAGACTGAGCTCCCTCCCCTGCTGTGTCCCTGAATAAACAGCTGCACCCAAGCCCTGGCTCTGCTGCGTGTCCTGGGGTAGGGGAGGTCCTGGTGCCCAAGCCCTGGCCCACCCACCCTTCCTGGGGCAACAGGCAAGGAGGCACCATACTGGAAATGACTTTAATGATTAAATACTTTCTATGCCACACTGATTAAACCGACTGGGGGTCCCTGGGATCTGGGCGGCTGGACTGAGCTGCTTGCTCAGTGGCTCTGCTGCCAGGCCCTGCTGCGCTCCCTGAAGGGCTCAGTTCAGGCCCAGATAGGGCCTGACATCTGCCGTCTGCAGTCCTGGGGTGACCGTCACCGCTCCACAGCCAGCGCCTCTGCCGCCTCCTCCTCCGGGAAGGCGATGTGGAAGATCTGGCGGTAGTGCTCCACAAAGTGCACCTCCAGGCCCTCGGTGATGAAGCCTGCCAGGTCGCAGAAGTCCTTCTTGTTCTCGGCTGGTAGGACGATGCACGTCACCCCTGCGCGCTTGGCCTGGAGACAGAGTCAGGGTCAGCCCTGCCTGGACCTGGAGGAGAGCCACAGGTGTGTGTCCTCCAGGAAAGGAAGGGCTGCGTGGGGACCGGGAACACGGGGGTGGCTCCTGAAAAACACTAGAATCCCAATTTCCCGGGAAACGGGCTCCAAAAGCCCGTAAGCAGAGGCAGGCCAGGTCCCAGGAAGTCTGGCCATGCAGGGGGGGGGCAGTCTCGGGCTCTGCATGACCCCCACCCACAGCTTCACCTCCAGGGGCAGGTAGTGTCCCTGGCCTCAGATCTAGGGGGTGTGTGGCTGGTGTCCAGGTAGAGGTGGTCACAGCCACTTGACCATGCCTACCCTCCGGGCAGAATCCCCTCAGAATGACCCCAGCAGGCTTCCTAGACACACAGCATGTTGGTCTGATGACACAGAGGGCTTGGGCCCATGTCCAGCCTCTCCCTAAGCACAGCCTGCCAGCACAGGAGGCAGGAGCCCCGCTCCCCACTCCACCCTACTGGGGAATGTTCTCCACAAGACTCGATGTGGAGACAGCTAGGGTGGCCTGGCTGCAAAGCCCAGGGCTTCCTGACTGCCCGGCTGCCCAGGGCGATGCGGGCCTGTGCGCTCACCGCGATGGTCTTCTCCTTGATGCCGCCAACAGGCAGGATCTTGCCTGTGAGGGAGACCTCGCCAGTCATGGCCAGGTTCTGCCGGACGGGCCTGCCCATGGCCAGGGACAGCAGGGCCGTGACGATGGTGCAGCCTGCACTTGGGCCGTCCTTGGGGGTGGCACCCTGCAGGGGATGTGGGGGGACGTGGGTGGACGTGGGTGAGCAGGTGGCCAGCTGCCCAGACGCTGGGTGGGGGTGGGCAGTGCAGTCACCTCGGGTACGTGCAGGTGGATGTGTGAGGTCACCAGGTACTCGTTGTCAGGGGCGTGCTGCATGAGGAAGGCCCTGGCGAAGGTGTAGGCGATGCGGGCACTCTCCTTCATCACCTCCCCTAGCTGGCCTGTCACCTCCAGGCTGCCGTCCTTTTCACCCTTGGCATCTCTGTCCCGTGGCCGCCTCAGGGATGTCTCCACAAACAACGTGGAGCCTCCTGGAACGGGGCGGGACTGTGAGC